CAAACTACGCGGGGTCCAGAAAGAGAAGAGTCAGTGCCTCTTGTGAGCCTACCAGAATGAGGGCTGAGATTCAACCCCAAATCTTGCCCCACACCACTATAAACAACCAAGGTACCTAAAAGCGTCTATTGGGAGCATGACAGTAGTAATATAGCAAACATGGGGTATTTCCTTCCGTCTGTTTTTGAAATCCAATATTGTTCTCACTGTTTTTTTGTTCCAGTTAATTGTTTTGCTTTATTCAATACTCTGTTTTGATTGGTTTTATTCTGTTTTGGTTTGATTTTGCTATAGCTGATGTGACAACTAATGTGAAGACCACAAGATATACTATGGTAGCTATTGTTGTTTTCCTAGTATCCTGGTCTGAAATTCTGTACCAATTTTACTGCTTTGTTTCGATTGGCTTGGTTCTGTTTTATTTTGTTGGATTTTATCTTTAAAATAAAAAAATAATATTGTTAAATATGACTTGATTTAATTAAAAATATTACAACTAACAACTGAATATGTATCGATGATGTAATAGTAAGTTAGTCTGAACATTGAGTTAAGACCATCATTAAGTAGTTAAATAATCGAACCAATTTATTATAATGCTTAATGTCTCTTTTCTTCAAAATAGTTGATCACACCTTCACACACAATAATATCAAACATAAAAAAATAGTATAAAACCATTCGAGATAATAATAGCATCATAGGACTTCAAAAACCAAATAACAGGAAATGAACGATGGCTGCTATAATATCTCATTTTCCTTAAAAATGTGTTTATATAATCACACATATTTAACAATATTATTTTTTATTTAAGCTACTTAGCAGCTTTGGCCAAAATGATACTAATAACTCAAATTTCACAATAAACTAAGGGAAATTGGTATTTGGTGATTTATTTGACTGATATGTTTCTTTTAGTGACTACTTCAAAATCCACACTCTATTTGTACTTATGCAGAACACACTGCAGTACATCCCTACTGCACTCATTCAAGTATATTTTGAATTCCTCTGCTTATGGTCACAATATGGTTATGTGAGACTCTGACTTGATTTAATTAAAAATATTACAACTAACAACAATATGTATCGATGATGTAATAGTAAGTTAGTCTGAACATTGAGTTAAGACATTCATTAAATGACCATCATTAAGTAGTTAAATAATCGAACCAATTTATTATAATGCTTAAAAGTCACAGTAAAATTCTTTTGAATAAATTGAGCCAGAATGATGAAGAACATTTTTCAGGGGGAAAAAAACCCAAAAACATAAGAGAAGACTAAACAAAAAGTTGGAGATTTTGCCAAATCCAAAGCCAAAGCAAGAGTAACAAACATGGGTTGCAGGAGAGATATCATATCAAATCAAGGGATATTATCAGTCAATTTAAATAATAACTTCAAGGAAAAGAATAGATAATGGATAATATCATACTAAATGTGGCAATGACTCACTTTTCAATAATGATGATAAAGTCTGTTTTATCCAGTTTTAAATAGTCTTGACTGGAACATCAGTCTAAATATGATTATTGTATCATGTAACTGAAACAAAGTTTTGTATACTACTTAAAGACTATAGCCTTAAATTGGACTCCTGGTAGTGTGTCAGGTCATCATGGAATCTATTTTATTACAGGTGTCCTGTACAATGGGCAAAAAATAGCGAGCAACATTGAATTCCTATCTGATCTTTCATTGTCATCCCAGTCTTCTCTCTCTCTGTCTCTTGTTATTTTTCCATATATTATTTTGAGTCCACGCATATGATTAGAATATATTGTTCTTTTCAACGTCATAATAAGTCCCCTTTGTTGTGCAAAGTAACAAACTCATGGACTCCATGGAATAGGTATCTTTTCAGAAGTCATTATTCGATCTACAGCAATTAAAAACTGTCAGGTGATTCAAATTATAATGAAGAAGAGACGATACGTTAAAGAAAGAAAAAACATATATATGAAAGGAAAATAAAAAATCTAAAATATACACAAACTTATCATCAACAATTTTTGACTATTTCAGATTTCTCAAAGAGCAATTGAATATTATCTGCCAAAATTGTACTACAACTGGAAATCCATACAAAGATAAATTTCATTCCATACATAAAAGAATTGGAAGTCAGCCACAGCCATAAATGTATAAATAAATATACAAACTTTATGGACAAAATTTTTATGGCAAATTTGACCAACAAAGCATGTCAGAAAAATGAATTAATTTAGATTTCATCAAAAAGTAAAGAAATATGTTCTTGAAAATAAAAACTCAGAAAGTAAGACAAAGAATGTAAGACCGTATGCACAAAATATGTATCTGAAAACATAGCTGCATCCCATATATTTAAAAGCCTATTACGATATAAGATAAACTACATAATTAATCTGGAAAAATATAAAATTTTCACAGAAGATAAAACTGAAAAGTAAATAAAAATGTGCTCCCCATCATTAGTCAACCAGAAACATTATTAAAACATGACATACCGGGGCCGGGGATTTAGCTTAGCGGCATAAGTGCCTGCCTTACAAGTGTGTGGTCATGAGTTTGATCCCCGGTACTGATTAAAAAAAATGACATAGCACTTTCCATATACTAATGATTAAAATGGAAAAACTGTCCATCCTGTTTGTTACTGAGACTGTGAAACCAGCTGAACCCATATACATTACTGGTGGGAATAGAAAATGCTTCAAGAATCCTATGGAAGAATCTTGTAAGCTTAATCATGTGCACAAATACGAGCTCACAATTTCACATTTAGATATTTTTCCAAGAAATAATAGGTGTATTTTATCTAAAGACTGGTGTTTGATTAAATGATCACAAATAGCTCAATTATAACTTCCAAAATGTGGAAATAATCCAAATGTTCATTAATAAAGGAACAGACAATCAAATTTTTTAAGCCATATCTCATACTCCACAAAAAGTTACTAATGCAAGAAATGACATAGAATGACAGATTTTATTGAAAAACAAGCTAAATATAAACCTAATTTAGAATGATAAAAACAACATTGATTCTTATGATGGTGGAGCTGAGGGAAGCTTGAGTAAAAAAAGAGTAAGAGCACTTTCTAGAAGTTTAAAACTGTCTCTCGGGTGACTGGATTTCTAGTTATATAAACATCCTTATTTGGTAGTCTTTGGTCTGCATACTAAATATGTGTGAATTTTAGTTTATATAGTTCATACTCAAATAAATGTGATTTTGCAAAAAATGACCTTTAAGAAAGTAGGCATACAGCTGTAAAAGATAGTAAATTTTATTGTTACTCAAAGAAAAAAGCCACATCAATCTGTTCAAAAGAGATATAAAAATCAGAGAAAAGTAATAAATTCAAAGCAGGTCAAATCAAACAACAGAAACTCCAGATAGAAAATTAAGAATATAAACAAATGTTGCACTGAGTAAAGTCAAAGGCTACCAAAGCTCATTAAAATTTTAAATTGATAGTAATTTTGTGAAATTTAAAATCATCAAAATAAAAAGAATAATCTTAGAGTTTAGATAATTAATACACATATTGTCTATAAAAATAGTTAAAGGTAAAAGCTTCTTTCTTATCAGCAAGAACATGTAATAGAACACAATGAAACATTTAGAAATATATCTAATTGTTAAATGCAATTCAAAGTTGTAAAGCTGTGAATCTTCATAACTTTTTCTTAGATTCATGATAGTGCTTATAAAAATCTCAGCAAGGTCATTTTAAAAATTTGATATGCTTATTTTAAAAATAAATTATCTGATTAAATATTCCTGCTTATAAATATATAATAATTATGACAGAGGGCTACAAAAACACCAGAAGAAAGTATATTTGCTAATATCACAAAAGAGAATACACAGAATAACAATTAAATACATATGTTTAGTATATATATATATATATAATGTTCATTACATGTACATATGCATATATATATATATATATATATATATATACATACATACATACATACGCATTTAGGATATATGAAAAAAACACAATATCAAGCCACTCGAGAAATGTTCAAATCTCAAATTTTTTATTATGGAAATAGTGTTGTACATAAAAAATATAAAGTGAATTAAAACATGAATAAGAAAAAGGAAATATACTGTAACTTACAGAATAAAAATATATAATATCTATTTTTTATAGAAGACAAGCATTATTTTAAAAATTATTAAATTATTATTAGCTTTATAGAAAAGGAATGACTTATGTTTATAATAAATATTAAAGAAAATTTATAAGTTACAGAAATCAAGATCATATTTATAATACATATAATTAAAAAAGAATTATTATTTAGAATTACCAAGATTCCAACAAAAACTAGAACCCCTCCCCAAATTAAATTAAGATTGGGATAATTAACTGTCAATTAACCTATGACAACATATTCTAAGCCCACACAGTGAAAAAATTAATGCACACCAACACTGAAATATTATAACATAGCCATTTATTTTGTAAATATTAAAAGATGATATCACCCCGTCATTACCAAGCTTGTAGAGCAAGAAGGAGCTATTGCCATTCATGTACTGTATATTGGTACAATCACTCAAGAAAATGTTCTCACATTTTATGTCCCAGAAAATCCAATCTTAGCTACATATCCCAGAGAAATTTGAAGATAAATATCAACTACTGTAAAAAAGTCACATCACTTCTTCAACATAATATACACATTTTTGATTATCACTGTTTTTATTTTCTATTTAAATTATTTCATCATCATTTTGAGTTTAATGAGTAAATGATTTCAGAATACATATTAATGTGATTTAATGCAAAAACAAATTATTTAATTCTTTGTTTTCTTGATTAGTCTACTGAGAAGTGCATTTATTTTGCTACATTCATCATGAAATCTTATATCCATTTATGTACACTTCAAAAAACAAAGCAAGTTAATATAAATCTTCTACTACAGGAATGTAGATGGTCTTAGAAAATTATGAGCATAGTAAGATCACAGAGTACTTTACTTACTGATACGGCTGCACTTGGGGAGAGGGGACCAGCCATTCTCTGTGCATGTAATTCTGTTCTGCCCATTTGGAAGACTATAGCCAGGAAAACACTTAACCGCTACAGATTGATCTTGTACATATGTTTCTGTTTTACGTGGACTATTTCCATTTTCAACATAATCGTGAAAGCACTTTCCTAAAGACCACAAAAATGACAAATTTTTAAAAAATGAACAAACAATTTGGTGAAAAATCTAAACTAAAACACAACTTGACAATATTAAACAGGAATACATAAGCACCCAATATAAAGTGCAATGATTTAACTATAATTAGTGCCCAGTACCTCTTTAAAAAGTGAAATCAATGTTCAGTGCTTTTATTTTGAGTTTTTGCAACTAAAACTAAGTAAATATTCTTGTAAATTTTCTCCTTATCTTCTGATTTTTATGAAGAACTCTTCATGAAAGACAAAAAGTTTTTGTTTATAGATATCTTAACTTCATTTTTGATACTGGCATCTTACCTGAAGTCACTCATGAACTCTTCTTTCTACATATATATGTATATATATGTATATTTATTTATATATATATGTATATTTATTTATATACATATATATTTTCCATTATATATTTATACATACATAATTACAAAGACTTTTACTTACTGATGCATGGTACTTTTGGTGACCATCCATCTTTTGTGCAGTAGATATGATCCCAGCGTGACAGAGAAGGGGGCGCAAAATTCTCATGACAGAAATAGCTGTAATACTTTCCTATAGGTACTGGAAAGTATGGTCTATAATAACTTTCATAATGTAGAGCTCCATGTTTTATTTCTGGAAAGTCACAAGGTTTCACTTGTAATTAAAAACAAAAACAGATTTTATTTTAGTGAATAACTATACCAGAAATGACTCATTTGATCAATGAATTATATTTTATTATTAACATTATTAAATATATAATTTGAGGTTTCCAGCACAACAAAAGTTACAGAATTCAAATGATTGAGGTATGTGAGAAGGTTTTTGATAATGAAACTGAAATTATTCTTGTGGCTCACTAGACAAAAAGACTAAGATATTTGTTACCATCCAAATAGTTATGATTATGATAAACATTGATTTCTAATTTTAATGGGAAAATGAAGTTATTCTAGTGCTATAAAATATTTCAAAATTAGACATGGTATAATTATGTCTTATGGAATACATCTTATTTGTTATGTAATATTAACATTATGTTAATGTGATTTTATTTACTATATTGAAAGGTTTATATAGAATATTTTCTGAAAATTGGCCCTTTTCATAAAATTATTTAGATATAATCTAGGATTTTTAATACCATAATAGTATTTTTCTGTGAGCTATCATTCTATTCAAGAAATCTTATTACCATGTTGAAAATAATTTTCACACCTACATACATCCAAGATATAAAACAAACAGTGTGAATTTTCTTTATTTTTTATATGGTTTTATTTGACACAAAAACTTTTAAAGAAATTTCCACATATTTGTTTTGGGGGTTATAAACTGAATTTTTGCTTGTTCTAAATATCTTTCTTTAACAAAAGACTAGACAATATTTAATTATACTTTCTTTGTATACAGTACATACCTCTTATTTTCCCATTTTTATGAAGACTTTATTGATGAGATTAAAATGTTTAGTTTTTAGTCTCATACTTCTTATATAATATTTATTTTGTCTCCCCACAACTTGAAGATATGGAATATTTTCTTTTTACCCTTGGATTTTTCAAATTACATCTGATTTGTCAAGGCCTATGTGATTTAGCAGTAATGATGTTTTAAGCAAACTTTATGGAAGTGAGATTTTTTTTAAAATCAATTAAATTTCATTAAGTTGCAGAGTAGATTTAAAAACTAATGCTTCACTGCAGAATAAATATAGTCATCCATCTTACTGAGATGCTTCATGGAACATTAATAAAATAAAGTAGATCATTGATATATCTAGCTAAAAGTATGAAAAGAGAACTTAATTAAAGGTATGTTTCATTATAATGACCAGCCTAAATTCCTTTGCTATTCTATGTCATGTGGCCACATTTGAATCTGTGTCTTCTTTATAAAGTAATTCCTTGAAGCAAACATAATATTCCACACAGATTGATCAGCAGAGAGGGGAGTACTTAGCATAAGCTCATTTTTTAATCACACACTTCTGTCAGTACAGTTTATAGCCTCCCTGGAAGTTAAGTTGGTTCGATCATAGTGTCTATGCAAATCAATATTTGAACTGACTAAAATATTTACTAGTTTTTACAACTGCTGCCAATTTACTTTGTCCTAGGACAGCTAATTTCTTTGACCCAAACCCAGAATTCCTACCACATGTCATTCAACCTGGCATGTAGGAATTTCCATGATCTGTTGTAATGTAGATTCATTATCATTTGTATTATTCCACTCTCTCAGATCAGTAACTCTGGAGAAAATTATATATCATCCAAGCAACTTATGGACAGGACCATGGGGAAGGAACCAAGGATTACAGCTAAAATCTATGATATGTGGGAAGTGAATTCTGCAGCCTGGCTGAGCCTTCACATGATTAAGGCCTACGGCAGTGTCCTAACTATTCTGAAGAAAGACACTGTGACTCAGAATTACTACACTAAGTCATCCCCATCCTCCTGATCCATAGAAACTATGAGCTAGCAAGGATTAGTTATTAAGCAAATACGTTTTAAAGGAAATTTGTTGTGATTAACATATGTGTTAAATGGCACTCTTCTTACCCACTGTGTCATTCAAATATTGAAAAATTTTATTAACTAGAGAACCATATATTTCTAAACATGAGTGTGTTTGATTTTAGGTGGCAAGAAATTAACAGATTCATTATGGTTTATCTAGCTGTCCCCAAAGCCTCAAGCACTCATAGGTGTAGCTTTTGGGAGGGGACTGGACCATGGGTGTGTGGTACTGGGTGAGTCTACTGATAGATTTATAGCTGGATGTGATGTTGGGAGGTGAAGCCTGGTGGGAAGAGGTGGGGCACTGTGAGCATGGCCGAATGGTATATTCTTCCTCTCTTGAGGGCCACTGTTTCCTACCTGTTCCACCATGACCTTTGCCCATCTGCCAGACCATCCTGCCTTGGATCCAGTCCATACTAGACTGAAATCTCTACGAACCATGAACCAAAATAAACTTCCCTTCCTTTAACTTGTGAGTGGTGAGTATTTTATCCCAGCAATAAGAAAATAACTAAGGCAAGGTTCTAGTTTACTAAAATTGTGCATTTTATGTTACTTAGAATTGGATATTTTGTAAAGAAGTAGAATCAAGGTGTATTATATGCCTGTACCAACTTCACAAAATGAATGTAATCATTATGTACATGAACATGTACTTTCTTTTACATTCATAAGAAGAAGACACAATAAAACCAACTATTTGTCATATTATCTATGAACTCCCTTTATAAGCCTTTTTTAAATTTAAGAGAAAGTAATTTCTGAATTAAGAAGCAAGTCAAAATATAAATGAAACTTACAGCTACATCTTGGAGCAGGTATCCAGCCACTACTGGTGCATTTTGCCGTATTTCCCCTGCTTGCAGGATAAAAACCATCTTTACATTTATATGTGACTTCATCTCCAGCTCTGTGTTTAATTCTTTGAGGTGAGTAGAAACCATTTGGAATATAAGGAGGTGTACATGTTTTTTCTGAAGAAAAAAAGGATATGTGGATAATGCAGCAATCAGATCCATTAAAATTAAATATATGAAAATATAGACATGAATGTTATTTGTCTTCAGCAAAGCACAAATGGCATTACAATAGACACATCTTTATATCCTGTCTGATATATCACTCATATTTCCTTCACTATATATTTTCTTTTATCGGTACCAGGGATCGAACTCACGACTGCCTGCTAGCAAGGCAGGCGCTTCTGCCACTGAGCTAAATCCCCAGCCCCTATATATTTTCACCAGACATATTTGTGCCTCCTGGACTCCTAATCTTTCCTTTCTTTGAAGCTACCATATACTTTATGCTACTCCAGATGTGACAATTACTTCATCATATATAACTATTTTTTCTACATCCTTCTACTTCTTTGATTACTTTTGTTCCCATAGGAAGTGTTTATAAAGTGTTCAGTTGGTGAGACTTCATATCCCTCCTCCTTGAAGTAAGTGTGACCACATGTTTAGCATAAGACAATGCAATGAAAATAGAAACAGAATTTTTATTTCAAGGAGAAAGTTTTAAAAGAGACTGCAAGTTCTTGTTCCCAAAACTGCAGTAAGAAAGGCCATAAAATGATTATACCTCTCTTATTTTACCTTTAACAATTAACGCTGTAGCAGAAAATGCATCCTCCCTCCAGTCTTCTGTTGTCTGGTAATATTTCTTATTACAATTTCCTGTTACTTTTGCCACTTATAAATGACTTGTCACTGTGATGCATAGTGGGTCACTATGATGTATATTGTAAGAACCAATAAAAGACAGCTAAGTTCTCTGCCTCTGTACTTCCCCTTTCAACTCCCTGAAAATCTCCCTCCCTGAGTCTTCAAGACCTGATATTTTTGGAATGATCCCAATCAGTGCTCATCAACATAAAATAAATCTGACTCCAAATCTTAGGTGTTGTTCCATTATTTCTTCTTGCCATTGAATCTGGTGTGTTAACTAGAAAGAGTGCCTATGTTGACCTCTTTGGTCACTGGTCATAGCCCTCATGGACAGATGGGAAGATGTGCCCTTGAGATTCCTCAAGTTTCCTTGGAGGTCTGGAGGAGGATTCCTTGCTTCCTGCTTTCTCACACTGGACTACAAAAGGAAAAGAACATAGTCTATCTGTTTGTCTGTCTGTCTGCTTGCCTTCCTAATTCTTTTAGGAAAAATATTTCATTTTATTGTGTCCCTTTTATATGTATTTAAGAGAAAGTAATTTCTGAATTAAGAAGTAAGTCAAAACATTTTGGAGCAGCTATCCAGCCACTACTTGTACAGTTTACTTAGTTGCAGGATCATCTTTACATTTATATGTGACTTCATCTCCTGTTCTGTTTTTAGTTCTCAGAGGAACCTCAATTAGTCTGACTGTCAGTCCTACTCAGCTCAGAGCAGGAGAGACTGATCACCTTTCATTAATCAGGACCACCCTTGAGAGAAGGCAGTTGCAATGTTTTAATTCCTGAGTGTCTGTTGAATGAATGTGTGAGTCAACAGAATCAGCAATAGGCTGCTCTGTCTGTGCACCACGACTGGGGAGCACTGGTTGTTGTGGTTGATTGGGCCCTCACCTATAATTCCAAGGCAGTTGACATTGGCATAATGGGACCCTTACACTCTCCTTAAATTGCACCTAAGCCCCTGCAAGGGGTATAGCCAGGAAGACACATGAATGGTCTCTTTTTGAAGGGCAGCCATCCTTTGTCTGTTGCACTATCCTTCAAGAGACTACAATACACATGTAGGGAGCCAGAAATAGGAACTAATTAGTCAAAACCTTAAGCCCTTGACTATAGGAAAACGGACTTTTCTGAGATTGTGGAGTTAAAAATGCAACTAAACTGCTCAAAGAAAAAAGGATAAAGAGGTGCATTTTCCCTGAGTATTCTGCATTGGCACCTTCATTGGCTTCTGTAGTTGCTGCCAACACACTTAGCTTCACTCCTACTCCCAACTTATCTACTTCCAGTCAGTTGAACTAGTTTCAGATAGCCAATGCCTGCATTCATCCACAGAGGCTCTCACTCTGGAGTCTTCTGCTTCCTATCCTGCTCAGATGGTATCATCTGGCAACTACTCAAGATGACTATCAGCAATTTCTTCTGAGTTCTACATTTTGACTGAGAAAAATTTGCCCTGTCAGCTATGATGAATGAGCTTCCCGGGCTTTCTCTAAGGCCATCCTATCTAGAAAAACACAGTCATCCAACAGGGGTGCAAAAATCCCAACACTATGTCAAAAGTTACTGCTATTATCAAGAAGCCTGATATAAGGACTATGGACACTAAAAATAAATACCTCTACAAATTCAAAGATAAGAGGTCTCAAAAACTTCCACATCTGTATTGGAAACCAATCTATGAATTTCCTGGCAGACAATGGAACTGAACTCTCTGTCTTCAAAAGTCCCTTCTGTTAAAAAGTTACAATCATCAGGGCACCTGAGACTTCTGACTCTCACCCCTTCTGCTAGACACAAACTTGCAGTCTGGGAGGACATCACCCCATATTACTTCAGGGAAAGAGATCTCCTCTTCAAGTTAAAAGCAACCATCTGCTTTTCATCCAGTCAGTCATCTTCCTTCTCATTTAACCCTGCACTTTCAATCTCACTGTTCTCTTAGAGGAAGATGATGTCTACATCACGCTGAGATAGATAAACACAATCTTGAAATTCTGAAAACTCTCCTCCAAGAGTTATGAGCCAAAGGGTTGTCTTTGCCTTGAGATGCCCCTTGCTGTCAGACAGTCTCATACATCACAGTAAAAACACTCACCTTCTCCTGATAAACTGTGACATCAACATCACAGCCATCATCTTGAACTTTACAGTTCTCAACCCATGCAGTCTTCTTGAATTGCTCCAGATCACTAGGACTCAATTGCTACAAAGGTTTGGAAATTCTCACATTGTTTTTGGGGAAACTCTATGACAGATTTGGCCAACCCACTAGCACCTTTTCTCTGAAATAGCCAGTTTCTCTGTGTCTTTCAGCTCTGTCATAGTCCTCTGAGGGAGAGGTAAGAAACAGGTTTCAAAACCACAAAATGTTTATAGATTTTCAAACTACTGAAAAACACCTCTCCTGACTGTTAAGCCAGTTCAAGATTTCCAAGTTCCTAATGCCACTGCAGTTGCTTCAGTCTTCTGCCACCCACAGTCTGCTAGTACATCTTCTTGTACCTAAGAAATGCCTTTTTCTGTCTTATGTTTGCTCCTGTAAGCCATCCCTTCTTGGAAAAGACACCAGTTCTGAACTCAAAGGTTAACTGACTTGGACTCAGCCTCCCACAGAGTGTTTAATTTGTTTATTCTCTCTGAAAGAGCCCTTCGAGCTGACCCCACTAGTTTCCTGACTCAAAATAAAACTTCACTTCTGATTAATGACACCCAGACTGCCTGATAGAAAAGGCACAAAAACTCTGGTGTGATACCTGGAAGAAACTGATTACAAGAAACTTCAAATTTCTTGGAGCCACTGATTTATATAGAATCTGGATACTTGAGTTCACAGCAACAATGATGCTTGCTCAGACTGTCAGTTCCTGGCAGCATCCAATGGTCTAGTCATGTAAATACTTTGATCCAGTCACTAAGGACTGCTTCTCCCTTGACTTTGCACTCTAATAGCCACTGTTGTTCTGACCAAAAAGCTAACAAGCTCACCTTAGGCCAAGACCTAACTCTATCACACTGGACCTCCTAAATAACTATGGACCGCTCAGTCTTGCCCCATACTGCCCACCAGATCATGACTTTCTGGCATAGAGTGATCCAACTGTTCTCAAGCTGACCAGACTTAAAAATGAATCCTCATCAGATGCTGAGTGCACCCTGGAAGTATCTCTGTTAAGAATGGAGTCTGACAAGTTAGATATGCTGTGGTCACCTCAAAAAAGTTGATTTGGCCAAAACTTTCCCATTATTCTTTCCTGCTGCTGCTTGGAAATCTGCCACCAGTGACACCAAACCTGTACCCATTCAGAGATCCAACTGACTGAAACATCAACCTCTGTCAGAAAAACATTTAATCAGAACCAGACCTACCCCCAACTTACGTCCAGCAAACTCAAACCACAGTCTGGCACTCATATCCATGAAATAAGCTCATGCTGGCCTTGACTTCTCCCCATTTAAAGATATACAGAGAGGCTTAGTGCTCATCTACACCTCTTCAGACTGGCCTAGTGCATTCTTTACCCATGCTGAGAGGGCAATAAAAGTTTGTAGGATCATGCTGTGAAAAATCATCTCTAGATATGGCCTACCCTTGACCACTGGCACTGGCAATGGGCCTGCATTTGTAGCAGAGGTAAACAAATAGAAACTACATACATCATATAGAGTACAAAAAAAATTTAAACATAAAGTGTAGCCCTATAGAAATATCTTGGAACAAGATTCATAAGAGTTTAGCTAAAAGACCAGGTATATCTATATATACTCCTGCACACACATATAAGCCAGGAGCATATTAACTACCTCTACAAGTTTCTAGATCTAAATCTAGCCTTAGATCTATCATTCCAAAGTCTTGATTTCTGAGAATTCCAGAGTCCTAATTTCTGAGAATCTGTCTGGACCAGACAGCTCCTCTGAAGTTCACTCTGAAAAGACAACACACTCAAAGCTCTGCTCTGATTATTGTCGATGCTGGCAGGTCCACACACAGCTGAAGACTAAGGACACCATTTACAGGATTGCTCTGTATCTCAATGCATTATTCCTCTTGAGTTTTATGCCTTTTAAAGCTGCTTATCCTAGTCCTTGCTTCCATTTTGAATTGTATTTTTTCCCATAGCTCTATGACCAAGAGAATAAAAAGTAACCAGTAAAATTTTCCAATTTTGAGGCCTGGTTTAGGGCCTATCTTAAGGCCGCAGACAATATTAATGCTTCTAGTTGGGCCTTAACTCAGATCATATAACATGCCCAAAAAACATTTGCTGGAGAAACTAACAGGAGGAAAATGTAGA